AGGATAAACAGCCTATGGGCCATTCGACCCATCTTCTCTACACTCCCCCTCAAGCTGAGCATAGATGTCAATCATGCCAAGCTTGCCAATATCATGCTGAAGTTTAGCCTTGGGAATGCCCTTGGTGAGGAAATCAGCTAACTATCCTTTAGAGGTGATGAAAGGTAGACACACTTCTCCAGAAGCCACTCTTTCTCGAATGAAGTGCCAGCCAACTTCAATATGTTTAGTTCTGTCATGTTGCACTGGGTTGTGAGCAATGTTGATGGCAGCCTAATTATCACAGTATAACATCATTGGCTTATCATGCTCAATGCCCAATTCCTCCATCAAGGATCTAAGCCACAGTAGTTCAGAAACTCCATGAGCCATGGCTCTGTATTCAGCTTCGGATGAAGATCGAGCAACAACTGATTGTTTCTTGCTTCTCCAAGAGATAATATTACCTGCCACCAAGCTATAGTACCTAGAGGTAGATCTTCTATCATCAATGTTTCCGGCCCAATCAACATCTGTGTAGGCTTCAAGTTTCATATGGAAATACTTAGCAAATAGAATTCCCTTTCCCGGGGAACCCTTCAAATAACACAAAATCCGCTCTGCCGCTGCCATGTGAGTATCCCTGGGAGCATGCATGAATTGACTAATGCAACTGACAGCATATGCAATGTCTGGCCGAGTCATGCATAGATAGAGAAGTTTTCCAAGTAGTCTCTAGAAGACTCCCTTATCTTTCAACAATATTCCATCTAAAGCAAAAAGTTTATGGCTCATATCAATAGGAGTAGCAACTAGTCTAGCACCCATCTTCCCTATTTCAGAGAGAAAATCAAGTACATACTTTCTCTGAGAGATAAGTATTCCATCTTTGGATCTGCCAACTTCTATGCCGATAAAGCATCTCAATTCCCCCAAATCTTTGATCTCAAACTCTGTATGAAAGAAGGATTTGAGATCATTAATCCCTGAGATACATCATTACCAGTCACAACAATATCATCAACATACACAATCAGGTAAACGGCCAAGGATCCTCTCCTCTTCACAAAGAGGGTATTGATCAGACTATGTCCGTACATAGCCAAAGCTAACAAGGGCAGCCCTAAATCTTTCAAACCATGCTCTAGGCGATTGTTTAAGTCCATAAAGAGATTTCTTCAGCCTGCAGACCTTTCCTTTCATATCAGTTTCATGCATCTCTGGAGGAAGAGACATATAGACCTCCTCATGTTACTCTTCATTCAAAAATGCATTCTTTACATCCAGCTGATAAAGTGGCCAGTTTGAGTGTGCAACCAGAGATAGCAAAACTCTCACAGAAGTCATCTTGGCAACAGGAGCAAAGGTCTCTAGATAATCAATCCCATATGTCTGTGTATAACCTTTTGCAACCAGCCTAGCCTTGTACCTTTCAATGGTGCCATCAGCATGATATTTGATAGTAAAAACCCACTTACAGCCTAYTGGATCCTTCCCTTCAAGCAAATCAACCACTTCCCAAGTGTAGGACAAATGTTTAGAGATACAATGTGTTGTACACTTCCGCTTGCCTTTGCGAAGGGAAATAGGAAGGTCAAGGTCTAGGAAGGTAGCAGATGGGTCAAAGGAAGGCTAACCTATTACCTCAGTAGTGATGGGAGGTGCAAGAGGCTCTGATGAAGAAACAACTTGCCAATGCATGAATCTTTGTTTTTGGTACCACCTTTGGAGAACAGGATGTGAGGAAAATATAGGAGGATGAGCTAGGGGAGGAGGGGGAGAAAGAACATGTGAGGTAGACATAATGGAAGGAGGGGCAACAGAAGAAGATGACTCAACAGAAGACTCAAAAGGAACTTGAAGAGGAACAGCTGGAGACATAGCAAATGGTTCCTCAGAATACTCCCCCTCAAGAGGAATATCAAAGAAAGGAATAGACTCAGCAAATGTGACATCCCTAGAGACAAAGCAGGTGCCACGAACCGGATCAAAACAGCAATATCCCTTCTATATGGTAGCATATTCTAGAAAAAATGCACTTATGTGCCTTAGGCTCAAATTTGTGTCTCTGATGATTATGAGCATGTACATAGCTGGTGCACCCAAAAACTCGGAGAGGAAGAGAAAAGAGATCCTCATCCGGAAAGAGAAGGCCAAATGGAGTCTTGAAACCCATAACCCGAGAAGGCACACAGTTAATCAAAAAAAGTGGCAGTAAGGACATCATCCCCCCAAAATTTAATAGGAACATGAGATACAAAAAGGAGGTATCTAGCAACCTCAACCACATGGTGGTTCTTCCTTTCCGCTACTCCATTCTACTACGGAGTGTAGGAACAAGAACTTTGATGAATAACCCCAAAGGTCTCAAAGTAGGATGAGAGGTTCTTCTTAAAATATTACTTAGAATTATCAAATCGGAATATTTTGATCCGGGTGTTAAACTGGATAAGGATAAGTTCATGAAATTTTTGCACAATAGTTGGTATTTCATCCTAGGATCTCATGAGATAAATCCAAGTATAGCGAGAATAATCTTCAATAAAGAGGATAAAATACTTGTAACCCCCCCCCCCAATAGTAGGCAAATGATACGGCCCCCACACATCAGAGTGCACAATATGAAAAGGAGAAATAAATCTTTTATTTGTTACTAAATAAGAATGTCTCCAAAGCAACTCCATTAGGTGGTCCAAGACTCCTATTAGGTGTGTCCAGCAAGTATATTCCATTCTCCGCATGGCCACTCCCAATCGTCCTCTGGGATTTCAAGTCCCGAAAATCACAATGGGTAGGAAAAAAGGTTATGGTACAGTTCATGGATTTAGTCAAGCTACTGACAGATAAAAGGTTGATATTAAGCTTAGGAACATGAAGAACAAAGGATAAAACAAATGTACCAGAGGCCTTGATATCTCCTTTGCCAAAGATGGGAGCAAGAAACCCATCAGCAAGGAATGTCTTCTCTCTACCAAAGAGGAGCTGATATGAACAAAACAGGTTAGATAAACTGGTCATATGGTTTGATGCACCAGAGTCAATAATCCAAGGGATTTTATGATTACCTGAGTGAGCAAATGCGGATGATAAAGTGTTGCCTGAAGGGTTAGATGCTGAAACAGTGGTCTCCAAGTGATTAAGTAACCTCCCATACCTTTCAAACTCTACCTTTACTGCTGCCAACTGCTCCGTATCTGATCTTTCTTCACTTTCCTTGTTTCCACCCTCAGGCACTGTGGCAACATTAGCATTCTTAGGCTTCCTAGTCTAACCATTCTTCTTAAAGTTGTTGTTATTGTTGTTGTTCTAAAACCTGTCCGGGAGAAGATATGGATGATGTTTCCAACAAGTGTTCTTAGTATGCTTCGGTTTCTTGCAGTATTCACATATTACTTCCTTCTTCTCAATCAGCTCCTTCGGCTTTATTCCAGCATGTGCAAAGTGTTCTGTAGGTGGTCCCTGTAACTATACTTGCCACCTACTCTCTACACTACTTACTATGGCATATGCTTGAGCAAGAGTGGCCTCATCTTTGGCCAGGATGTTCTGCCTAGTAATGTCAAACTCAGTCTGAAGAGATGTTCAATTCATTACAGGAGGGCGACCAATTTTCCACTGTATTCTGGCCAAGTTTGGTTTCTAGGAGTCTGGTCTCAGTCTAAAGTTCGGCCATGTCAAGTATTGCTTTACTTTTGTCAAAAGGGATATGGGTAATTTTCTCCTTTGGATGGAGCATCTCCAACAAGATTTCCAAGACTTCTTTCCGATCCTCAACTTTTGTTTTTTACTTTCACAACTTTCTTCTTAACCCAGTCCACACTTGTTCCATCCCACATTATTTTCGAACTGGTATCAGTTGAGAGTACTGCTATGGGAGCAATCTGGTTAGTTTGCTTTGGCTGGTCTGTTTTTCCTGTTAAACTTTCACTCTCCTCCCCTGACCTTTGTTCTTTCATCAGAGTTTTCCCTTCAGTATTCAAGAGCTCCCATTTTTCTGGTTGAACTCATCTAGTACGCCAGCAATCATCTTCCACCCCTGTTTTGCTTGTCCCTCCGGTAAGCATACTAACTGCTTCCTACCTTTGCCAAAGAACTCCGTTAATAAGATAAATCCTCCATTTCTATTCCTTCTGTTTTCTACTGTAAATCTTTTCCCACTGCTTGTCATTTCATTTCTCCACCCTTGTATTCTTTCTGCAAAGAGTAGGCCATCTACGAAACCTTTAAACCAGTCCACCTCTTTTGAATCCATTATAATCATTGCCCGTTGGTCTTCCCTTATTTTCAGAAACTTCTTCCCTCTGTTTGTTGTTTCCTCTACAAGGGTCTTCTTCTCCAGTTTAAGTACTCTTCTCCATTTTGCAGCCTGAACAAAAACTCGCCATCTTTCTCTCTTGTTAGTAACTTAAACCATAGCTATATCCTAGCAATTTAGTCATTATCTTATCCCATTAACAATATTTAGACTAGTACTAAAACTAATTCTGGTTTGATGTGCACATACAAGTAAATAAATATCAAAGTTATCAAAGAGAAACAAAATATTCCAATCCAAAACAGTACAAATCATGCATATTATCAACGCATATTTCACAAGACCCAATTCACAAAAACATTAAAGCTACAAATATCCTCCGACTTTGAGTCCATTTTATGTCTCACTACAGGAAAAGATAACATGAGAAAGGTCATCCAGTGCAATTCACCAAGTGATCAACTTGGTCATTTGCATCAATTAAGCAATCCTGCATTATCAATTTAAGTGCATTGCCACCTCAGATACTGCATAGGTATTATCATGCTAGGGATTGACCCAGAGCCTTCTGGTATAATATGTTCCATCTCATTGACCACACTAAAATACAAGTTTAACCGTCTTTGCTTCCCTTAATTCAAATCTGATTTAAAAGAAATGCCTTTGTAGGTCCAGCTGCATTTCGGCCACGAGCAAATGCTGCTTCTATCTATGCCCCCTTGGTTGAGAAGGGACGTCCTGTTTTACAGGGACTTTTAGCTATTGATTTCTTGGCTAAGGAGGTAACATGGTTGACATATGAAATATTTAGATTTCTTTGAGATCCAATTTTATAAATCCTGCTGGTTATTGGTTCTTATTACGGAAAATTATTTCAGAACAAACAAGACTATTAAGGAGTCCTTTTTCATAATTTTTGATAATGCAGAATGGATATTGATCTGCGCAGCGATGTTTTTACTTGTCAAAACTACAAAGACTATTTTATTTCATATTCAAATTAAACATTGTTGGTTTTTTCTTTATTTCTAATAATTATCTTCTTCAACAACTCTCAAGCAAGTAAATGATACATTATTGATGATGTTAGGTGCTTGATTGGACACAAGCAATGCCTAAATATACTGGAGAACTTGTGAAGTATGTGCAAACTTTCCTTGAGCGAACTTATGAAAGATGTCGTACATCATACATGGAGGCAAGATATTTCTCAGCATAAAAACTGGATTTGGTGTTCCTTTCAGATATTTATGTCCATATCCGTGTTCTATGTTTTCATTTAACTCTACTTTGTTCTTTCCTTTTCTTTTGGCATGCCTATTGCAGAGTGAAGGCATGAATACCTAGTAAAAACACATAATATGGAATTCAGTGGGTTGTAATTTTTGAAATTCATTAGGGATTGGGATGAAATTAGAAATTTGAAGACAATTTTTGGAAAAAAATCAATAGATTCTTGGGTTTAAGGATTAACATTGCCAGTTATCAATGGCATTAATATAGAACAAGTGAAGCTGGAGAGGTGTGCAGAAATCTCTGTTTGTATAATGGTAAATTGGCCTATGAAATATTTAGAACTACCTTTAAGTAGTAACCCTATACCTACTTCTTTTTCGGGAAGGAGTAGTGGGGAGATTATCCATGTGGAAAACGAATTACATATCACTAGGAGGTAGGATTACCCAATCAAATCTTCATTTACAAATCTACCTGTTTATTTCTGATCTGTTAAAAGTTAATTCAGAGGCTTGAGTACATTACTAGGATCTGCTTGTAATTTTCCTACAGTTACCTATCACTAGGAGGTAGGATCCCTTAATCAAATCTTAGTATATAAATCTGTCTGTTTATTCTTATCTGTTATAGAGCCCCTATTAAGGTTATTCAGAGACTCATGAAGATTACTATGGATTTCCTTTAGAAGTCTAGAGACTCAAAAATGGACCCCTAACTAAATTGAGAAATGTTGTAGAGGAAGATAGATGGTTATCTGGAATTAGGAAGTGTTTCTACTGTTGCTACAGTAGTCCGAACCAGTAAGGAGAAGAAGAAAGAGAAGGAGAAGAAGAAGATGAAAGAACTGTCGAACCTCTTAAT